GAGCCGGGGCAGGTGGGTGGGGCCACCCGCGATTCCCGGTACTGGTTCAGGCAAACCGGTCAGAACTGGCAAAATACCACGTCTGGTTAGCCCTAGTTAATAACTGGCTGACATATCTGTAAATACAGCTTCCTCCCTCCCTCCCTCTCTCTCTCTCTCTCTCTCTCTCTCTCTCTCTCTCTCTCTCTCTCTCCATTACTTGCTATTGGATGGGGGAGATACTGTATTTATCCAATCAATAGCACCAGTATCTCAGCCAGTTATTAACTAGGGCTAACCAGACGTGGTATTTTGCCAGTTCTGACCGGTTTGCCTGAACCAGTACCGGGAATCGCGGGTGGCCCCACCCACCTGCCCCGGCTCTATGGCATCCCATTTAGGCCCCCTTTTTAGGCAAAGCACATGCACAGAAGGTGGAACACATGCACAGATGCTCACATTTGCCATCCAGTAGGAAAGGTAAGTCAGTACCACCCCTGGGGTTAACCCTATTTAGTTCCTGAAATAAGCTAAGGTGCTTAGCATTGCGAAAAAGAAGGATTATGTCCTCTTTCACTATACTCTGAACCAATTCAGATTTCTTCCCTGTTATTGCTTTTGCTGTTGTTGCTTTTCTTGTTATTACTGTGGCAAAAAGGGAGAGGGAGAGGGAAAGGGAGTGGGAGCAGGAGAGGGCGGAGGGGAGAGAGGGAGGAAAGAGAGAGAGGAGGGAGAGGGAGGGAGAGAGAATGAGAGGTTACAAAAAGCATCCATGCCCTTCTGACATCAGACTCAATTCTATCTTTGTAATGGACTACAAAGGTAACACCACCATTTTCATAGGTCACAATCCCTTTGCCATTTTGCTGCTACTCTTGCTGTTAGCCTGCTGGGCAGATTACATACCTTGAGTGCAAACATTAAATCTTAACTCTGGTCTTTGTATTTACAGGAATTAAGCATCTAAAAACCCAGAAGGACCTGGCATTTCCAGAGGAAGATGAAGGAGTCTGTGAAAGGGATGAGGAATAGAACCTTTAATGGCGCCAAAGCTCTCGTGAAAGATGAAGCTGCTCAACTTTCAGTACTTACTGTGGAACTTTATGGCTTATGTTCCTGATCCAAAAGAGTCTTCATCCTGGTACCTAAGAAAAGGAGGGTTTTGCAGAGGAATTCATCATTTGCAGAACTGGCCTAGGGTACCTCCTGGATGAAGGCAGCCCTTTCTTTTCTCGCCATTTCCTTTTCTTTGTAATAACTCAACTTACATGCCATATGTGCACATAGATGGTTTCCAAAGGTGTTGGCTCTACTGTCTTAAATTCCAAATGTGAGCTGCAGCCTAAAGTCAGTTGTAAATAGTGCAGACTTAAATGCTACAAAATAAATACAATGTACATTTAGATTACGTGGTACTTTGCAGACTCTTTCTTGAAGTAAGAAACCCAGTTTGATGGGATTCCTTACGGGTGCTCTACAGAGATTGGGAAGAATCTACGGCCACTTCTGGTCCTACAACCCTGGTTAAAGATAGAATAGGCTGCTCAAACACCCCTTCTAGCTTTTGCCAGGGCTACTGGTGGGGAGAAGGGGCTGAGAAGGAGGGTCCAGGGAAGAAAGGAACAGGGGTGGGTTTTTCGCCCCGTTCCAACCGGTTCGGTTGGAACGGGGCCGGCGGCGTCCTCGTGCATGCATGCGACACGTGTGTGCACGCGTGTGGCGCACGCATGCGTACTAGCGTCTGCGATGCTCCAGCTGCTCCTGGAGGATCGCGCAGGCGCTGTATGCGTCCTGCGCATGTGTGGAAGCGCAGAACTCCTCAAAACCGGGTAAGGAGCGCGGGCGGGTGTGCCCTTCGCCGTTCCTGGAAGTTACTTACTTCCGGGTTCGCCGACCAACCGGTTCGCAGGGATCGCCGCGAACCGGTTGAAACCCACCCCTGGAAAGGAAGTACTCTGCTCCTAGAAGCAAGCAGGCCCAACTACTTGGAGAGCAATTATTAGGGTTAGGATCAAAACCAGTGGTGGGATTCAATTTTTTTACTACTGGTTCTGTGGGTGTGGCTTGGTGAGCATGGCACGGCTTGGTGGGCATCCATGGTTTGGTAGGCATGATTTGATGGGCATGGAAGGATACTGTAAAATCTCTATTCCCACCCCACTCCAGGGGAAGGTTACTGCAAAATCCCCATTTCCTCCTGATCAGCTGGGACTTCGGAGGCAGAGATAAGATAGGGGGCGGGGCCAGTCAGAGGTGGTATTTACCGGTTCTCCGAACTACTCAAAATTTCCGCTACCGGTTCTCCAGAACTGGTCAGAAACTGCTGAATACCACCTCTGGTCAAAACCTTAGTGAAATAAAGTTTTTTCAGAGTATTTACTCTTTTTTGGTCTTACATGTGGGCAATGAAGAAATATTATTATTCTTTCCTACTTGCAAAAGAAAGGGAAGTAGAGACTTTTCAACAGTTTGAAAACTGTTGAAAGCTATTTTTTCATCTTGTTTTTACGAGATTCTGAGGTATTGCTGTCTGAAATATCTCAAGAAACTCCATAGACGATTAGGAATCAGAGTTCCTTGGGATGCAAAAACAGGTAAACAGAATATCAAAACTAGTTAGGGAGATATTCTGTAGTAGTTCAACCTCTAAGGAAAAGTTTCCACATGGACATCATCCTGGGAAGAGTGAAATTTTCCATCCAATGGTCTCTTAAGTTTTTTGAGATTTCCACGCTTCCAGTGCATAATTTTTTTTCTCCTGCTGCATTCTCCAGATGTTTCTTTTTTACAATATCAGATAGAAGTCCTGCTCTGTTCAGCGTGGCTTCTCAATTTAGCTATAAAACATGGCAAAACCTTTATTCCCTGCAAGCCTTCTCTGTGTACATGCAGGAGTTAATTGAGACTATCCAGAAATGGCACTCCAATATTCCAAGTGTCTTGTTGAGAAAGTGCTTGTTAAGAAGACACCTATGATTTCTCCACTTGTCGGAAGTCTGACAAGCCTGTTAGGTTCATTCAGAGTTCAAAATTCTCTCCCTGAAAACTCTCTGTGATCACCACACAAACCTGTCCCATTTCAGACAAACTAATGACTTCTAAATTGCATGCATATACTTTATTATTATTATTATTACATGTGTGCAATGCTATTTCTGATAATATAAGTCCTCAAGGTGATGGATAATAACTAAACCAAAGTATTCAGGTAAGATTAAAAGTCACTGTCATTCAAATCAAAGAGTAGTGAAAAACTTGCCAAAGGCAACAGGGATGCGTTTTTCCTCCTTTTCCTAAAATTTGAAGGGTGAGAGAGGGCATTTCTTCGTGAAGCTGTGCTGCTAAATGACAATTGCAGAGGCTTTGTGGTAGGTGATGATGACGAGGTGATCCATTTCACTGAGTCCGACTCTTGGCAATTCTATGGGCCAAGCCTCAAGATTCCCACCCATAGCTTGCAATATGCTCATATGAATAGGTCTTTCTTGAAAAATAAATGTAAATTTCCAATAGAAGCTTACCTCGGTTGCCAGGAGGCTATCCTGAAAACCAGCACTAATTTGTGTTCAGACCTCATATCCTTTTTCTAGGAATTCACCTGAACTGAATCTGAAATATGCAGACTGGAATAAAAGACATGGTGTCTTTTATGGTGTTACATGGTGGTTATAAATGTAGCAGGGGATCAGATCCCTGGGGTTTTTTTGGAGCCCATTTCCCCAAGTTTATAGCAAGAGCAATAGCAATAGCAGTTAGACTTATATACTGCTTCATAGGGCTTTCAGCCCTCTCTAAGCAGTTTACAGACTCAGCATATCGCCCCCACAGTCTGG